GGCGCATTCTCACCGAGGCCATTCAGGCCGAAATCATCATTCGCTTAGTTCACTCCGACAATGGCTAGGCACGACGGTCAATAGCAATAATACGGTTAGGAAGAAGACTAATATAAATGAGCGGGATCATCTTAATTACGACATGGCGCTACCGCCGCATCCACATCTCACGCGAAAGGAAATTGAGGAATTTGAGGCTCTTCCCATAGCCATCAGGCGAAAAGTGAGTTAGGATATTTTTTATTTTATTTTATTTCTTCATTATCTATCTATCTATCAATCAATCAATCTTTCTTTACTATACCATCGATACTACCTTATGGTTGGTTACACAAGATGGGATGATAAAGCGCCCAAGTGAGGGGAAGACAAAAAAAGGTACGAAAGGGAAAGAGGAAAAGACGATCGCAGGTGTTTACACGTGTAAAACGCGACTGCACTCTAGACCACATACCACATACTTTCGTCCTTGCCGTCCTTGCGGGACTGGAACGCCTTCGGCACTTTGTGGGGCTTCTCATCTCTTATTTATTCCCTCTAGCTCAAAGTCCTTTTTCGGATTGGATAGTCTATAAGACTAGATTTGCAGAGACGCGCCGACGCAACTTTGCGTGGCAAGTGCTTCCTGCTTCCTGCCAATTGGGATATTCGTGCCAACATTGGAAAGGGGGGTGCGAAGGAACGTTGGAAAACAAGTCGCCAATGAAGTCACAAAGCTGTTCGCTTATAGGCTGCTAGCTAAGCAACATCGAGTGGGCAGGCGCAACTACCTTGCATATTACTGCATATTACAACTGCAACGCTCTGAACGCTTTAGGCCACTGCCAGTGCAAGCCTGCGTTCTTCATAGCACTTCTTGCATGCATGGGTGCTTCCTTCTATGCCAACTATGCCCGTTCCTGCAGCACGGCACACTTTCACCCCTTCCCATTACATATTGCATAACGTTATTACCCTATTACCTGAATTCTAAATTCTGCCTTTTTCTACCAGTCATCTTCAAGCTCTTGAATGCTTTTACTAAATCTTTGTCCCCTCTTTTCTACAGTATTTCTCCACCTTGGAGCGTTTACGTCTTGCTCAAACTGTTGGTGTCTTGGACCCCTCGAGCCCACCCGACAAAGAACTCCGCCGGCATCATCAGCGTCGTGGAGCATCGCTCGGCGCCATCGTTCCTGGTAGACCACTAGAGCGACCGACTACCTCTCCAACCTCTCAGGACAACGTATTCTCTGCCGATTGCGCGTTCCTGGCTAAGCTTCCCGCTAAGATTAGAGAGAAGCACCTGACTAGGGAGGAGCAAGTCCTCGTTGCTAGACAGTTAAGGCAGAGTGTCATATTGGATGCTGCCGACGAGGCATTCTTCAAAGCCGGCCGTCTTGCGAACAGACGCCCTTCACCACCTCCAGTCTATACACCGACCTTGTCTTCATCAGAGCGACCTAGTATGGAGTCTCTGCTAAGCGACAATGCTTCCGCTGGAAAGCGCGACTCGCTTTACGATAGCTTCCGATGGCTAGACGAGGAGGAGGATCTCGACCTACGACTTGCCATCGAGGACTATCATGTGAATCTGAGGGAGTCGGCGCCTATGGCTCCTAAGGACACAAGGCCTCCTTCGTTCCGTCGACATATGTCCTTCTCCAAGGTCCCATTTGGTCGCACATCTATCTCAAGTCGACCCGGGACAAAGGATGCGCAACAACCACCGCCTTCTGCTAACTCCACATCTGCTACCTTGGTAGGCTTTCCGCAACCCGGACGACGAAAATCTAGGGCGCTGTCACTTATCACTCCGAAGCATGCCCCCCATAAATCGATATCCTCAATTGACCCCGGCGCTGCTCATTATCAGGATCCCGAGGCGCGCTTGAAGCTGCGAGTATACCTAGCTTCGCCGCAGAAGTTTGATGAAGCAATCGAGTTTGGTTTCCCTTCGAGTGATTCCTCGGCAATTCCATATAGGGATTTGCCAAGCGCAAAGGGTCAATCGGATGGGATATTTTCTCCGGACTCCGAGAAGTTCAAGACATTCCTAGAGGATGATAAATCATCTATTTACAGTGACGATGCGTCGCTACCGGATCCCGAGTCGCCTAGAACCCCCGACGCGCTGGACAAACACGATAAGTCGCTTCAGCGACCTCGCACCAATGACTATCCATCTAGGCTTCCAGAAACTTATGCACAAGTACCTGCAGCTTCCCGTGAGATGACGCTACGCATGACGCTTACGCGACCCGATCTACGGGCCTGCGAAGACAATTTATACGGGTGGCAACAAGCGCCACGACCGTATTCCAGCAAACCGTCGCAAGTACTTGCATTTCGCGACGATGCTCCTACTTCTGCTCCGTATACCAGCCACGGTGCTAAAGAGAGCATGGACAAGATTTTCGCGGATATCGACCACGAGCTCGGTCTTCCTGCTCCTACGGATGGCAATGTGGTGAAGCGCTTTTGGAATCGAGTACGACGAGGCTAAGCTATACAGATATATGCTAGCTATATGGAGAATGATCAATCGCAGCGGCCAACACACTCCTCATGGTTACGCGACTTGCCAACGTAAACCTTCTCTCACAATGACGTTTATTACCTATCCATCTTATTAGACTCTTGTTCTCACGCCGGTCCCATACTTTTTCACTATTCATTTTGCGAAACGAACCTCACGCCCAACAGTCGCGGAGGAAAACGAATGACATAGGATTGCGACAAGCATATCCAAATTGGCGTTCATGTACATGGAAACACAATCAATCAATCAATCATTGCCTGGAGTTACGAAGGGGTTTTGGCGAGGTATCAAAATGTTATCGACCGTTGTAAGGCCGTTTTTTTTGTTTTGTTTTATTTACAGGGCCCGGTACGAGACATGTCAGGGAATAGCAGGAGTAGAAAGCAACAGTGTCGCAATTTCTGAGAAAGTCCCCCTACCCCTATGATAGATAGTCTATTTTATTACCACGTCCTGTTAGACTACTACTTGGAAGTTGGCCCACCTTACAGCATTAGCTAGCTAGGTAGCTTTATGATTCCAATACAATGTATCCGGACCGAGGTGTTCGGGACCGTTGAACTTAACTCTTTTTTTTCTTCGGGTGTCCGATGGCAAAAATCAATAATTCGGGAAGTGTGATACGTAGGCGCAGGCTGCTAGTAATAGTATATGCACTATCGGGACTACTTAAGCCCATGTAGGTTGACGTTGGGTATAGATCGACTAGGCGTGCCCGTAGGTTCATGCGGGATACGTAGATCTCTCAGCTCGGAGCGGTGGAGAGAGAGAGTTGATCATCAGATCACCTGCATGGCTAATCTATCAGCTAATCTATCACGGCCTTCTCGCGCCCATTATGTACTAGCAGCACGCGAGTTTTGGTGGCGGGAGAAAAAGGAACTAAGGTAGCGTAGTTGTTGAAACGTTAGCGTACTAGCAGGCGGGTATAGAGGAATTGCGTCAGACGTATTTAAGCCGTTATTAGTCAAGATAGGTGCAGGGCTATTTATTATAGTCTAGCTGTTTTAGTGGTGTGCTATGGCATGGGTGTAGGGCGTTTAGTTTTAGTCAGTGTATAATGGTGGAGATGGACTGAAATACATATGTAGGTTAGAGGTATATATTGTATGTATTCCGTAGGCAGGTCGATATTCACCGCGTCCTGCAGGTACGCGTACTCTTCCAGTACTACGGATCACATTATTGTACATTACATTACATTTATATATCGATGTCATACCGTACTCGCCGAGTCGTCTAAACTTACTTACACCACCTACGGTACGGATATGTAGATACACTAGGTAGGTTAGGTCGTACCAATCTATATATGTAGGCGGTTGTCTAGCTTCGGCTTGGCGGCGGCGTTCTTCCATCTACACTACCTAACCTAGGTATGTAAGTTCTCGTGCGCTTAGCGGCGCCATAGGTTCGTGGGCTTTGGGGGAGGCTGGCTGGACCGTCTGTGCTTCATATGGGCTGACCGCTAGTACATAGATAGATGGAAGGTGTGAGATAGAAGTTAGATGGAAGATGGGATACGGGGCTTGGGAGGCTTGATAGAAAACGGTCTACATGTATGTATGTAGGTACGGAGGTAGTTCCGAGGATTCAAGGAGCGAATATACGTGTAAATATTCCTTGCTGCGTGGCGCCTTGGATTATCGAAGGTAATTCAACGCAATTCATTACCTAGGTACACTATTGTACAATAAATACATTAATAACTCAGCACCTTGGAGATCTCAACTTGGATCTGGCTGTACCTTACACGATGCAGCCAGCGATCAATTGATTGATTGATTGATTAATTAATTAAATCAGTGAAAACCACAATATGTAAATACATCATAATTACTAAGTTATACATATGTAAATAAACATTGCATAAAATCAGTCCAACAACAGAAGGACGGTAGAACACGAAGAAGAAACAAATGGAAAACAGGCGTCGCGTGTAAGTCCCAAGGAACGCTTGACATTGGCGTAGTATCCTGGTATCCCGAGCCCCGAGCGCGCTATGCCGGGGTAGGGGGTGCAAACGTTCAGGGGGGTTACCGGTTTGGGTTTGTTCTGTCCTGTGTGGAATGGATATATACTACACTGTATAGAGAAATACCGTAGGTTAATGAATTTCATCATTTGCGCGACGACGATTGTACCGCGTCATATGTAATAAGTGCTCTTACATATAGATACTTGCCTATGCATGGATGGATTTATCGAGAGTATCAAATATACCACATACATATATAGAACCCCACGGGGAGATAAGGCTGTTATATAGGTAATAACTAATACCTTCCATATTAGTCGTAACATTATGCCTAAATACTTATATAGATTACTTACTATCTGAAAACTAAGTAGTTATCTAACCTAAGTAACTAACCCCTATTCCTTGAACACCGTATTCATATCGTGCATAGAGCATAGGAAGTTTCGTAGATGGTTTTATTCAGGGGGCATAATCAACCCGTTCTACCGGACAAATGCAGGTGAAATCTATTCGTCTACTCTGTTCTACATCTAGTTATAGTTAATTTAGGTAGTTTAATCCAAACAATACAATACCTCCAACTAGCATATACGCAGACTTGTTGTCTATTGTCCAGCTTAGGTACGGAATAGAACGGCATCGTCGGGTCGGTAGGAAACGATACACAAGCACACAAGCACACAACACATGCCATCCCATTACTCCTAAACCCTGAGCAACGATGCCAAGTAAAGAGTGAGAAAAAGAAATCGGATCCAAAAGCTATCTTTTCCATCGTGTTTGCTACAAGTACCAAATCTAGACGAAACCGGCGATAACTTTGATAACTCGGCTTCTCTAGCTTATACCACTACCGTCACCACCATCACTTCTCATCTAGATCATGACTTTCCTAAACCCTACCGGTGCGCCCCCTAGTTACAAGTACATTCCATTTCATTCCTTGCCTGCCCTCAAAAAGCATGAACAACAAGGTCTCGTCGCTCACGCATCGTCATCGCTATCGTCGCCGAGAAGCTCACCTTCGTCTTCGTCAACAATGGCATAATCGCCTCTGCCTCGGGCAAAGCTGTCTCTCGTTGTATATCTTCGCTGGTTGCCCCCCCGTAGCCAGCTGTAGCGCCCGCCGCTGTCACTTCTGCTCCTGACATTTTCTTTCACCGTGCGCCATAGGCTGCCTATCAAAAGGGGCAACGCACCAATCACCGCTACCACGGCAGAAACAGCCACCACCGGGTACTTAACCAATGGCGAGTTGCTATCGAGGCTACTCTGCTCACCGAGCCGAATCTGCCCAAATTTACTTTGCCAGTTCTGGTAAACCCACCAGCCAACCCCTGAGGCGACGCCCAGAGGAATCACCACGGCGAAGAAGATGCCGATACCAGAAATGCCACGAGCCTTCTCGAATTCCTCCTCGTGGCCGGGGCAAGGGTGTGGCCTGAGCACTTTGTCTGCCTCAAACCCGCCCTGACAGGTCGTCAAGGGGATTCGGCGGAAGCCGCTGGGTTCGTAGTACTCGAATTGGTCGGGGTTGTCTTTACAGACTTGCTCGGGGTCGAGCGGGCGAAGACCGTCGACAAGTTCGCAATGGCCGTGGTTGTCTAGTTCGAAGTTATAATCACTGCAGCATCATAATTAGTACTCATAAACTAGTTCGTGCATATTTAGCTTCCGTCCTTGTACTTACCACTCAAAGTCTGATCGAGTACATTCGCAGATCTCGGTCATGTATAGGGGCTGAAGCTGGAAACTGTTGTAGCATTTCCTGTCCTTCTTTTTCCGTAGGTAGTAGTTCTTGTGGCCGAATAGACAATGGTTCTCCTGCAGAGGATGCTCCGGCGACCATAATTCATAGTCGGACTTGTCTAGGTCTTTATCATCTTTGCACGGCTCACTCGCCAAACCCGAAAAGTCGAGATTCACGGTGAGGAGCTTGTTCCCTTGGTGACCCCAGACGAGGAAATTCCTAGACGAACCAGACCGCAGCGTAGTGATATCCGTGATGACCATGTCATCGTCCGAGAACGTATAATCTTCCCAGGTATCACCCCGATCGAGCGAGTAAGATACCGTCTTGGTTCGGGTATTTCGTTGCGCAAGAACCACGATGGACCCTTGGTCGCCAAAAGTCCACATCCAGCTTCCCTTCTTCACCATTTTCCAGCTGAGGCCGGCGTCGGCTGTCATGAATGTGTCTGCATCTTTGGAATCACCAAGGACAGGGCCAACGTTGCCGATGCCAAACATGATGCCGATAGCTGACTCTGAGGAATATGTCTTTCCATAATCCACTCGTTCGGTGTAGCCATGAATGTGGAGAGCGCACGACTCATCGCCGTTTTGACTATGGCAACTAAAATCGTTGCCGTCCAAGTCTTGTTTAGGAGGCGGGAGGAATGCCCACTCGGCGCCGTCGTTGTGGCTGATTCGCGTCTGAAGCCTTTTCGGCTCCGAATCGCTATCCCTGTTCTGAACCGTATTGACTAGCACGACGCCTTCCAACCCAAGCATCTTCTCGAAATCTACAAAATAGTCGTTGTCGCAGTTGACGCCCGCTACACTAAGTACGTAGGATGTTCCGTTGGAATTACTCTTGAGGATCGATCCAAACTGGCGGTTTTCCTCCCCATTAGTTGCAACGAATAAGTTAACTGCGTGAGTCGAACTTTCTAGAACGGTATATGCGTTCGTATGCGGAACCTCGAAGTTGAACGGGAAGTGGGCGGGTGCGTAATCCCGTCCGTTTAAACTGCTAAGTGCGTTGAGCACCTTACCCGACTCCGTTTGATTCTCTGTAGCAACCACGATGAACTCAGCCATAGTTGCGAAATTGCTGACATTCTCCAAAGCGACGCTCATCTTGTATCTCGGGAATTCGTCACTATATGAGAGCTGAAGAGGGTTATCGGCTTCGTTGTCCTCTCGTGTCCTTGCAAGACAAACTATTTGCGTCGTATTGCGGAACTTGTACGAGGATGAGCCTGTAAATTCACATTTTTCTACGTACCGCTTGATCGTCGACCAGTTATCACCACGGTCCGTAGAAAGAGAAGCTTCAAGGTAGCAATTGCCGTTGTGACATTTCTTTCCGTGCCATATGAGCCAATCCGGCCGATCCGGATGGAACGAAAGGGGTAACATCCTTGATTTAGTGTCTGGCGGATCCCGTGGTTCGAAATAGTCGAAATTCCGTCCCCTATCAACAGTATAATAGACTCTCTTGTCTTCTGTGAGGAAGAAAGCCCTATCCTTGAGATAGGGGTGAGTAGCTATCCTATAGATCTCGCTACTGGGAAGCTTAGCTTTTGTCCAATTCTTGCCGTGATCGCGTGTAATAAAAATATCCGATGCCAGCGCGTACGAGGATTTATATGGTCTAGCGATTATGGTCTCGCCATCCTCCTTCTTGTTCGACTCGCCCCGCTCAAGGTAGTGTTTCTCGAATTGATCAAAATCGCCCTCAAAAGGCCATTGGATATGTTCGATCTTATCACTTCCCGGCGCAGTCGGCGAACCTTTAGCCTCCGAGCACTTCCACTCCTTCTGTTTATCTTTCTGGTCACCTCCAGGACGCTTGCATACATTTCCGGGAATGAGACGCCAACCGGAAGACCCCATAAATTTCTCATCTGGATCATCAGTCTTACAAGCGCCCTCCGGGAGTGTAATAAGGCCGACAGGTTTACATTCGTCACCATCCCGCACGAAGTTGAAATCGCACTCGAAATCGGCATCGGTACACTCGCAAGGAGTAGACTCCGGAATTGGATCCTTGAACTCTTGCTTGATGAAGCAGTTCGCGTCCTTCTTCCGTCTGTGGTATTTCTGTGTATGACCCATCACACAGCTTGGTTTGCCATCGTCGTCCACACGCGCAAACCAGTCTTCCATGTCACTTTCTTTGCAGGTATTCTCATGCAACCCTTCAAAGTCAATCGAGATGATGTAGAAGCCGTCAGGCGATTTCCTCGATCCCTTTCGAGCGGTGAGGATGAACTTCAGGCTGGTCGAGTCTTGGGTAGTCGTCAACGCCCAGGGTGCAACCTTTAGACCGTCCGGTAGTTTGGTTGTCTCCCAATTCTTACCATGATCCAAGGAGTACTTGATCTCATCTACATCAGCTTCCTTGCTATCTCTGATGGCAACAAGAATAGAGCCTTGGTCTCCAAATTCGTATTTATGCGGACCCTTAGGACCTTCAATCCATGTCCTTCCAGCATCGTCCGAAATGTAGAGGTGCGAGTCCCAATAGCCGTTGAGGTGGCTCCCATGGTTGCCATTACCCATTACGAGACCTGGCGCTGGGCTTGAAAAGACAGGGCCAACATTGTTCATTTCCGTAACGGAATGTAAGTGAATTTCCTCGTCGCCCGTCTTGACAGACTCAAAGGTCCTCCCGTCGTCGAAACTAATCTTGGTCTTGATCTTCTTCTTCTCTTCTCCCCTTTCTACTTCCTCCCAGTTATCTACCTGGTTGATCAAAAAAATCCCTTGGATGTTAGAGACCTTCTCGAAATCGACGTAGGAATCCAAGTTGCGGTTTGTATGCTCGGCATTCCTAGTGAAATACGTCCCATTTGAGTTACTGGTCAGTAAGGTACCCATGGGGCTGGACAACCGCCTGCTTGTTCGGACATCTACTTGGATGCTATAGTTGGTACTTTCCAATACGGTGTACGAGGCTTCGAGGAGAGGGTGGTCGTGAGGGAAAACGGCACGGTGCCAATTTTCAGTATCACCACTCACGTACAAAGCCATCTCAGCCGTATTACGCGAGATGGTAGCTACTAGAAGATACTTTTTGACCTCGACTATGCTCACAACACCCTGGACGGGATCGCGGCCGTTTAATTTTGGCTCTTCTTCCTGAACTGCCCCATCGGCTTCTTTGGCGTTGAAGTAATTATCGGAGATTAGGAGGCGATTTTCACTCCGAGGAGAGAACATGCCACCTCTGACAATGCACAATATTCTATGCTTATCTAAATCCTCCTTGCCAGTTGTAAAGAGGGGCGATGTTTTAGCCCACCAGCAACCCTCAGTACGTCCACGAAGGAACTTGACTTGTTCGAAGCCGTCGGTAGTATACATTTCGAGATCTTCGCAAAGGCCCTGGCATTCCATACCGGTAAATAAGATCTTGTCCGGATCATCGGCATGGAAACTCATCCACCGACGTGCTACGGCTTCTTCGGAAGTACTCAGGTACGCATCGGTAGAGAAGGTCTTCCATGTTTCACCTCTATCGTGTGTTTTCCAATGAACGTTCCCACGAGTCAAAACATAAGCGCGGTTTGGATCGTGTGCGTGCATAACCAAGGCGACGGCCTTGTCGTGTTCGATCCCTTCGATCTTGGCCCAGGATGCGCCTCCGTCGGTCGATCTCCAAATAGTACGTCCTGAAATCTCTTGAAATAGAACAACATTAGAGTTCTTAAAATAATGTAAATTGTCGGGAATATCTTCGAATGGGGTAGCGACGATGGTCGGACCGTTCTCGGCGTAGGCAGTTGAGGCATACCACAAAAGTGTCGTCAGAAGAAAGACGGCTGACCATATCGAGGCTGAAGCCCCCGAAGCTCCCCTGGCCCTCATGGTTGCGTTGTTTGAAGCGTCACGCAGAGGTCATGACAAAGCTATTCACCTCTATGCGAGGAGTAGTCTTCAGAGGATCGATAAGGGCGAACGCTAAAGTGATCAGATGAAGCAATCTTGAGACTAGCTCGATGCTATGTAGGGATAGGCTCTAGGAGATGGTCGTGCGTTGAAGGGATTTATCGATTATTTTGGCAGAAAGAAAAATAGTAGATTTGTGTTGTTAGTAGCGACGTCAGATAGTGATCACTGCGTTAGGTGTCATCAATCGTTAGTATGTATGTAGGAATGTAGGTATGTAGATGTACAATACTTAGTTGAGTCTCAGCTTTCCAAATGCGCCGCGCGGACATTTCAGGGATCCACGTCGCAGCTACCTTTCGTAAGTACGATACATACACTAGGTACCTATTGAAAGAGCGCTAGGATTGGCTCTCGGGATGCCAAGTGGTGCAACTAGAGTCCACTAAGATAAGCCAATCGTAGTGTAGATAGAGCTATTCTTATTTTTTAGCTCAGCCCTTGTGGCAAAGCATCAGCTGTGGCTCAATAGTGCCCAGTAAGAGACTTCTAGGTGGTACAGTTTTAGTTACATGTGGTAGCATTCCACAATCCCCACAAAGGTTAGAAGTTGATGAATATTTTCTACTTTCAGAGTATAATAACTATAGTCAGGTATGGTGCAGTTTAGAGCTAAGATGAAGATGAAATAGTGTCATATGCTTTGAGTATTTAACTATCTAATAAGGCAGATACTCAACTTAACTAATACCTGTTGCGGACTAAAATGACAGCCAGAGTTCTTAAAGGACATTTAAACCAACACAACATGAGGGAAGAGTGGACGAAACAACTGTATAATAGAGATTTTCTTACTAATGTAATTGATACGCTCCCGAATAAAGCCAAAAGTAATTATCTTAGTTAAACAATCTCTAAAGAAGCTCACTATTACATAACATTGATAGGATAAGATAGTTAAACTAAGCGTACTCGAAACTATCAAAATTGAGTACGACTTAACATGAATAAAACAAAGACGTCATTGAGGGGTCGTAAGTTCTACTTGATAATATGTAACTAGAGTAGATTGAAAAAAGCTTTGTTCATTCGTGTAAGGTACCTACATAGGTTAATCAAGTTGTATAGGTATACTTGTACACTTTAATTTACAGTGTTCAGACTGTGAGGACAAATGCCCCTCTATTTCCTTTGAAACAGGCGGAATCCCGTAAGACTGAAACATAGCTTTCCAAGAATGTATAGGCGTATTTTTCATGCTACCCACATATGTGCATACGCGCATGCTAGATACGGCACTAATTCCCGGAGTGCGTACCTAATGTATGCAACCGCTTTTTGGGACCGGCTTGCATTCGAAAAGAAGAGAAGAATAAATACCTGGATATAGTTAGGAATCATCGTGTACCTATCATCCCGATTATCTCAACATTGTATAGGTAGGTATAAACGGTATTGTACCTTATCTCACCCGGGACTTACTTTAGTACCTACATATGCAAGTAATGGGCCTAAGAGATAGACCCAAAAACTTGCCCAAGTCGGGGTTAAGGCTACGGTGGGGACTTTATTTGATAAACTCCTTCACCCCTCGCCCCACTAAAATAAATTTCCGGGGCACTAATCGTCAACTACAATACGACGTAGCCTTCTCAGCCGTACTCGAGAACTGAAAATATCACATACGTTACGCGTAATAGTTAGAGCAGCAGCAGCCTTTTTATATATTGAGAATGATGATATACTTGAGAGATATCATATATTATGTAAGTGTACTCAAATACCATATTAGATATCGATATGTCATGACCTTGGAATCTTCCAATGTGAGTAGGTAGGTAATCAAGGTCGATAAGGTAATGAAACATTACATGTATGTTAGGTACATCAGAGCCTAGGCAACGGCCCTTGGACCTTGGCAGTAAGTAAACAAGATGGGTTGAAATAGTGAACTCTACCTACCTAAAGTTTGTATTGCCCATTTAGTGCATGCTACAGGGGAGGACAGGACGGGCTAAACGTGCCAGACGGGGTTGGGGGATGTAAACAGAATGCAATGCGACAAGCGTCTCATGCTCCTTCCATTTTATTATCTCTTACACTTTTCGGTACGGTAGGGAAGGCAAGTACCTAAATAAGCACAAACACGCTTCATAGGTTCCTGCCGCAATTGCATTTCTTTATTTCATCCCTGGTCTAACCGTTTACCGTCTGCCTCCTGCCTTCTGCCCTAGTGACGCGCGACATATTCTTACTATTCTTACCCCTTCACAACTATTTTTCTTTTCTTCCCCTTTTCTACACATCTTCATCCTCTCCATCCCACACCCATCTCGTCTCCATAATCCTCCTATAGTACTTTACTATAGACTGTGGACTGTGGACCGTGGCTTTAAGCACTTTGACAACATCACTTTACAATCAACACGCATCACACAAAAACGCCCGAGTCAAAATATCAAAACGTACCTATACGCGTCGACTAAGCCAAACATAAACTACCATGGCGCTGGCGGCTGTCTACAAGCAGTTCCTTGCTGCGCCGAACTCGTCCCAACTAGCGGACGATGCTTCCCTCCACTACATTACCACTACCTCTAGTTACAGAGGTTCAGCCGAAATACTTAAGCACCTCAGCACTACGACCAAGCAGCTCAAGAAGAAGAAGATGGAACTTCTTGCAGTCATAGAAGGTCAAAATGCTATTGCCGCCGAGGTCGACACTGTACTTGAGTTTATCACCAGTGGTGGACCCTATCTACCTGGTCTCGACGATAACTTCCTGGCTGATCGTACTGTTTATATTCCCATTGTAGGTCACGCTATATTGTTCCAGCTATTATTCGCCCAAGACTTAACTAATACGTGATTTAGATGCACATCGTCACGTTTGATAACAACGGCAAGATTCTGCAGATCCGCCAGTCCTGGGATCAAGGCTCCCTGCTCAAGCAGCTCGATGTTATCGGCAAGTCAGGTCGCAATTGGCCAATTCGTGACAGCAAAGAACAGATCAAGTTGATCGAAACTTGTGTTAAATCCTCGAGCAATGGCGCTTCCAGTCAAGACCCTATTGACCTTGCCGTCCGTGCTCGTGGCAATTCGAACAACGCCCTACGCGATCCCCACGCTTCGCTTGCCTTGTTCGCTCCTCGTGAGGAGTCTGACGAGAGCATTGCCGCCGTTATCTCTCCTAGAGGTGGAGCCCGGCCGCGACAACGCGACATTGTGGAGATCTTAGGTGACGAACCGGTCGAAGGTCCTGATCGCGATCGATCAGAGTCGCCAAGCAAAGCGATTGCCCCTAAAGCTGGCGGTGAGAAGAAGTTCCAGCCAAGCCGCCTGTTTGCGGATGAAGAAACCTTAGAAGAAAGTGACCCGATCGAAGACGTCGCCTCTCCTAATCGTTTCTACCGCCCCAATCCCAAGAAGTTCAGTCACTTTGACTTCGACGACGGCTCTAACGAACCTGAGCAGGTTCCGCCACCAACCGAGGCAACCCCTGTAAAGACCAAACATACCAGTCAATGGTCTTTTGATGACTTCGTTACCCCGCAAAAAGTGAAGCCGTCTAAAGTCTTGCAGCAGCAGAATGTTCGTCATTGGGGAAATGAGGATGATGAAGTGTTGGATAGTCCAGAGCGCAAACCCGCACTTCCTAAACCTCGTCGTGACGCCGAGACCCATTTCGAATTCATAGATGACGGGGTTCCTAGTGGTGCGCCTCGTGCTGCACGTCCCCGCGGCGCAACGCATAACAATGGGCTTGGCTTGTACAAGAACAATTTGTACAACGAGGACGGAAATGGGACGCCTCCTGCCAGTGGGCCTCAACCCCTAGGAGCCATCACGAACTTAAAGGATCGCGGTCGAGATTTCGAATCCCACTGGGACATGACGGACAAATCGCCAGCCCAAAAGCCACAGTCTAAGCCCGCGGTGGGAGAAGACCGCAAAAAAGCTGTCAAGATGATGGATGCTAACTGGTCGAACTACGATAAATCCCCCGTACCAAAGGAAAAGGAAAACAAACCTATTAGCATGGCCAAAGGTCCTGGACCTGACGGCGAGCGGGGGATCCATATCGGTGGTGACGGAATGGGCGGCGGCAAAGGCTCCAACCGCAACTGGCTATTCGGCGATGATGATAACGACCAGAGTGCTACGCCAGCGCCCAGGAGAAAGGCCCAGGCTGCAACCGCTACAACCTTCAATTGGGATTTCTAGGTTATCTAGCATAATTCCCGACATCGGAAGAGAAACTAAACCAAATGATAATAATGCGAACATTACCAACTATTACGTATGAAAACGCCTAAATGTCGCTCATGAATTACGAGAAGAATGCCAAAAAGGAGCAAGTCCTTTTTGTGTCTACGAGGCAAGAGTTATAGGATATCCTCTGGACAGGTGATTGGTCTTTGAGGTTTGGTTGAGTATAGGTTTTTTTGTGAACTACCTAGCCATATTACGGCACCGCGTTAGATCACTATTGCAGCAATAACAACAAGTGGCGGAGTTGACGATACCACGGCCGGAATTATTCGAGCAACTTGGTTTGCTGCTGTTCTCCTAGCTACGGCTATACAATTGCCTTTTATGTGTACATTCTGTCGGCTTGCATATAATTAATTTCCTTGATTCTTATTAATTCGACCCGATACGAAATGAGATCAGAGGGATGTTATCCTTATATCCCTATGTGAGGCGTGACCATGCATATCACCTCAGTAGTTACCTAGGTAGTCTAATATGGCAGCAAGCGGCATTAGATCCTAGACTTAAGGAACACAACTCGACAGCAACTATTACCAGAACGCAAGCATTATTGTGTAAATCACAAGTAGTTGTGCTTCTCGACGGTTCAGACACAATATGGGACTAATGATACTCTACTTCAAGGTGCCTTTTTCGTACATCTATTTAACCAATGCTATCTATGTAATAGATCTAGGCATAATCTCTAATATTCCGTCGAAACCTTCCGTTGGTCAAGGGAATATATACTACCGGAGTCTTAATATCAAAAACCGCGATACACAAACAGATCATAACAAAACGCCTTGGTCCCGTAGTATCACCTGTCCCAATACAATACAATAGGCCTGAAATCCCCTTTCGACGACGACGACCTAGATCTCTTCCTTAGATCGCCGTTAGTAAAACGCCACATTCCAACCTTGTGGCGGTCTATAAAACCGATAGACCAACAACCCAATAAAGAAAAAGCAAAAAAAAAAAAAAAAGCAGCGCAGCATGAATCATAACAAACCCCTCCCCATACTCAACACAAAAACTTATACATC